CCATACTCCACCCCTCTCAGTGCTCTTTTAACTTGGACCATATCTTTCTGTTAAGGATCTTGTAAATGCCATCCAAAGTCCAAGTACAGCATTAAACCCTTGGCAATAAGCAGAGAGAAAATTGTTTGTATCATTAATTGGTAAATAAACAGTGATCACAATTTTTTTGAATAATTTGATGTCTGCTGGCCAATAGTAAGGGATCAATCTAGCATTGGTTCTTTTGAGACACAACAAGAAGGTTCTGCAAGATTAGTGCACAAGAAAAATATTCACAATTTACAACCCCACCAGAGACTAGCTTCCAAGTGAAACATTCCTTCTGTTCTCTCCTCCTATTTCCCTTTCTTCCTATCTCACCTACAATGAATCAAAAATCTTCTACAACAATGTTTCTATCCTCAACACCTGCAAAGAATTTTCCTCTAGGTACGTCAGCATGTAACATATTCAGGTGCTTGGTTTAAGTATTTTGAATACTATTCAGCCCTATCACAAAAATATTGAAATTAGATGAAATTATGTCATGAATAATGCGAGTACAGTAAATGCTGAAGGGGAATGAAGAAGAGAAATTAACATTAACTCTAAAACCATTTAGAGTAAAAATGGATGTCATGCTTGTTCCCTTTTCCTATCCTACCAGCAACCAAACAAGCCTAAAACGGTGGAGAAATAGGACACAAAACAACACTGAAACAAAAATTTCCAAGTTATGAAATAATTTTGCAAAAGAATACATGAAGTTGAGAACCAAATTAATGAACCTCCAACATGGAGTGCCAAACTCAAAATCCGATATAAAACAAAACTGTTCCTGCATGTATGACATATACACACCTCTAACTCTTCACAAAGATTGATTGAAATATATAATGAATTCTTGCTCCCAGAAAGCTCAGATGTTGACATTTCCTCATTTTTCCCTCTACCATTGAAGAAAATGCTGTTACCAACAAAATAGTGAGGTTAAGCACAACACAAATATGGTAAAATATACAAGACAGAAGCACAGTTCAAACATTTATTAAGAAAGAAAAGAATCCTAGTGAGAAAATCAAATCAAGAAGTAGGCATAAACATACTGTACTTCGGAGTATTTAGAAAGAATATAGAGAGAGCTCCCTGACAGCCTATCACATACAAAAGTTGACAAGCACTAATAGTTACACAATAGTAAACATCAGCCATTAGAAAGGAAGGTCTACACTGTGCAGAAACTGTAACAGAAAAATTTATGAATAATCAGACACGAGCTGTCAACAATCTAGACATTAAAGAACAAATAAGAACCTCAAGCAATGACCACTCAGCACCATACAACAATAAAATTGAAGTTTTTCAGAAGTCCGGTGAAGAGTTCACTTTCCTTCTAGGGCGAACTAATGAATTATAACTGAAAATAGTGAACCAATAGACTCTTGTGAAAAAACTCTTGCAGAAAAATCATAAGTACCTTTGATTCTGTGATTTCTCCATGCTTGCATGCTCCTTTGCAACAGAAACAGGGCAGAGCATTGGTGACTTTAGCCCTGGAAGTATAGCCTTGATATGTTGTACTAGAATCTGCAAAGAGAATAGAACAAAAAGGTTCAACTAAGTAAGGGATTTGGAGAATATCAAAACATGGCTGTGCGGGGCTATATATGTATCATTCCAATACACAACCAACTCCATCTAGCAGAAAGTAAGCTTAAGTGAGTTAAAACTTAGATTTAGAGTAAGAATCGCCTCTATAAAGGACAGATTTCAAAATTATGATCTGCAAGAATTCTAAGAATTTTCCAGATACAAAAGATGGTGAGGGAAATGGTTAATATAACATATAAGCAAAAATAACCAAATATTTCATTAACAATTTTGGGATTTTAAAAAAGAGAAAATCAAATGTTATACCTGGTTCAATTTCTTTGCAACTGAGGAACACCACAACGATCTGCTAGACCATAATACCTGAGCAATAACATAAAATGAATGAACAACTAGATCATGGCATCCAACACCAAAGTCATGAATAACAATTAAAAGCTAGTAAAGTCATACCGGTCGACTGCGGAAGAACTTTCCTCAGCCACTAGTGCATCCTTAATACTTCGGTTGTGAATAATATCCTGTGTTGAGAATATCAATTTACAGGCATTAAAATCATAGTTTACTAATAAAACAGATAGAGACACAATTTAAGGGCAATTATTGAAAACTATTGTAAATCAACAGCATAATAATAAAAACAACAGCAAAATAAAAGAATAAAAATTATTACAATATTAGTAGTGGCAGTACCAGTAAAAAAAAATAATAGCACATAAGATAATGCCATTGCCTAAATCATCATTTTGATGGAATTGTTTAAGGCTGGTTTGTTTTAATATTTGTACCTTATCCTATTCCTATTCTACCCAAAATACATATTGTTTCCCTATTCTGAAAATCCAATTTTATCTATTCAACATTTAAAAACCCCTAGTTTGTTAATTAACTAAAACACCCACAACAAAAAAAAAAAAGTTTATAAATTACAAAAACACCCCCACACCCCACTATTCCAGAAGCCGGTGGGCGGCTATCAGCATTAATAGGGGTGGGGGTGTTTTGTTAATTTTAAAACTTTATTGCGGAGGTGTTTAACTAAATTAACAAATATAGGAGATTAAAAAAATCTTACCAAACAATTTTCAAATTCAAATCCTATCCTCGTAATAATAACCCAACTAACTTTTCAAAAATACTACTCAAAATAATAAAACAAACACACCCTAAACATCAGAAAATAGATGGATAATAGGTAAATTAATGAATTTACATTTAATCTATAATTGGCCAAAAAAAGTCAGCCTGAACTTTGTAAAAGATAAATAAATTAATAGATAAAACAAAATTAGCTAGCACAATGATTCCTATAAGATTATAAAGTTACCTCCTGACTACGATTCACGACGCCTACATAACCAAGTCGGAGGGGAATACTTTACCAAGCAACAATTACGAGCATCAGTACCTCTGTCCATAATATCCAACTGAAGCCACGGGGAAAATATGCAAAACATCATTAGAAAATAAAAAATCCAGCAGAGTCAGTCACATAGCAAATAAAGAAAGAAATCATGCCAAAATATTCACCTTCGTGATTACTCCTATGGTTCTGTAACCTGGAAACAGAAATATAACTTGTAAGTGCAAAATGAAATACGGAATGCCAACCGCAATGGCTATTGAAAGCAGAGTTACCATCTGGATCAGCAATTCCAGCAATTTGAAGAGCATCTGAGTTTGCTAAATCAGAATTTGCGGTGTAACAGCTAGAATAAGACAGCTTGGTTGTTTGATGTAAGACATAATCATTGTTCTGATTCGTGCTTCAATATCAGGGGCTGCTCACCCACGGGAACCTTTGTATACCAGGCAGATCAACAAGTGTGATATCAAGAACATGAGGAGAAAAAACTTCAAACGAATTTGTTGTCTGATACACCTTTGTTTCTCCTGCTTCCTTGTCTGTTTGCCTATAGCCGATCAAATTATTAAAAAGAGAAGAAGAAGATGATTAAAAGAATGGAAAAGCATTAATAATTCTAAAAAAATAAAAATCAACATAAATTAAAAAAGGATGATGCAAGCTTTAGTTAGTATGAAAATATAATTAATAAGAATATACCCTCTTTTAACATCTTTTAACTCATTTGACTTTACCATCTGAACTTTCACTCACCATCTTAGCTATATACTTGTGAATTGTATTCAATGCCATCACTATGTTAGAGCCACTAAATGTTCCTGGATATGGGTATTAGAACCACTTTATATTCTAAAAATCATGAAGGAAAGCTTTAGCAATTTTATGTTGTACAGGTTAAGGGTGAGACTAAGCTGCAAACTTTATTCCTACTTCAGTCTTTAATGACAATCACAGATTAACCCCTGTGAAACAATGAAGGTCCTGCCAAAAACTGCTATGTTGTAAATCTCCCCAAAAACATCAATATCTCAACTCCACCCATCTCCTCCAACCAAGTGATTGCCCAAGCAAGTCAAGCTCCAAAAGTAAGTCAGCCAAGCATCAATAATGTGGAGCATGTAAGCAAACAAATAGAAGCAACGGTAGCAATACCATCGCAAACCCTCACTACTGAGTAAAGATAAGCTTAACCATCATAGGGTTAAATTTAGTTTCTTTGTTCCACCTATCTTGCTTAAAAGCTTAACAACCATAGGGTATTTACATTATTAACATTACCGTAGAAGTAATAAAAATAATATACCGGTAGTTCTGTCTTGCATGTGGCTTAATGCTTATGAGAAATAATCCAAATACAGGTTTCCTAAAAACATAAATATTATTTCTCCTTCAAAATACTAAAATCATTAACATAAACATCCAAATCGGATAATAAAGGCACTAAAAACAGGAAACCATAAACTTCCGTCAAATCACAAAGCCAATAGACTTCCAAGAAACAGAAGCAAACCCAAGTAACTACATTATGGTTCCAACTATTGAAAGTACCCCTAACAGGAGAGGGCCTCGAAGAGAAGTTGCACTACGGGATAGAGACTTTTGGTTGCTCTACCAAAGCCAAAATTCCCATAGATTTGAGATCAGCAGGCGCAAAACCAGATGTTGTTAGCCTACCATTGTCACTTCATGCCCCCCAATATACTTCTTAAAATGCAAAAACCATGCTTGGATCCAATAAGGTCTCACATACAACACGGCAGTTAACAATTAATAATAGTCCAACTCTCTGCAAATTAACTCCTTCACTAAACATAATGAAGTAATTCAAGTTCGATCTCTCTCCTGATCTCTGAAAATCATAAAACCTCTTCCCAGGCAAGTGCAAAAACTCGCCGTACTCCTCGTCAGTCTTAATCTGCAGGAGTTGAAGCAGAGCGGACGACGAGTACAAATATCATTCCCACGCGGTAGAAAATCGCGACCGACGAGAGCTTCTAGAACACTGGACTGCCGTGCTTGACTGCCGACACCGCCACCTTGGGAAGTCACTCTTTGGCAACCCTGTTGGATCGGCACCCATATTGTATCCCCTCTCAACTGATTCAGCCTCCAATGGCAATTCATCCAGTGTCTATTGGAGAGAAGAAAAATCAATAAACAAGTTGGGAAGTGCCAAAACATTTTCCATCGTAATTTAGGAAAAAATAGTTCCACATAGCTAATCAAAAGCCAGGTTCATTTGGTCATGAAAAAAAAAAAATTGCAAGAAGCAAAAGGAAATTCAATCTTAAATTTATCCTAATTTGTTCAATGTCCTCCAGAAAAATCAAAACACAATCTTAATTCTAACTAGCCAAAGAAAAGCCCCTAAGAACCAGAACTTGAAAAGGAAAGCCAGTTATAGCTGCTGAATATTGACAAGAATCTGTTCTGTTTTCTTGTACTACACAGAAAAAGTAATCAGGAAAAACATACCCGGAAAGCCTGTTGAAGAACCCGGAGTGTTTCTCGAGTGCGCTTTCTCTTCGTTGCTACCTCATCAGGCTCCTGCAACATCTCTTCAAACAGGTTCTCTCTGCATTGGATCATCAGATGCAATGCAATCAATAACTAACAAGGAGGCAAATATCAGACAACTCAATAAGTTGAAAGAAGATAAAGAGAGCAGGGACACGAAGAGACAAAAAAATGAAATGATTTTGATCAAAGTCACCTGTAAAGCTTTTTAATGAAGACATTATGCAACTCGCGTTTTGTATGGTTCACCTGGAGACATAAATCAATGATGGGAAAAGAGATGTCAATATCCATGTAATAAGCTAGGACTCAAGGAAGTTCCAAAACAGAATATCACAGCCAAAAACGCAAAAAGAGAACAAGATCATAATAATCATTATTCACAAGACATAACCACCACATAGATTCATAATAAATGAACAATTAAAGAGCATAAAAGCAGGTAACAGCAGGCTTTGAAGCTAAAATCTATTCATTGTCTTAGAGACCTGAGATTCAATCTTCACTTTACCAATGGGGAAAGTACCAAACTATATGTATCCTAGCCATTGGGCCATAAACGCCTAAAATTATAATGTTTTCATTGGCACATGTTGCTTCTCATATCCACCCAAACTATATAAATGCACAACTACTTTATCTTGAGAAAAGAAGTTTATTTCGGCCACTAGAATTTGGAAGATCCTCATTAAAATTCCATAATACTTCAATAGTTTGTCTCTGGCATTTGACAAAGGAAATGAAAAACAAAACTGGTGAATGAGAGTTGAATTACCAGGAAATGCATAATTGCTTTAGGTACAGAGTCCTCAATATTCTTCCTAACAATGTCATAGTATGATCGCAATAACAATTTTGTCACAGAAATTTCAATAGACTCCTGCTCTGAATGGCTTTCTGAGGGCCTCAACACAGTTGGGGGCTTAAAAATATATCAAACACAGGCTTGTTAGTATGAATTCCAAAAATGTATATATGAATGTATTAACCATAAACACATTCACTAAGTCCAGTTGCTCCTGGACAGATAACCTCAAATTACCTCTCTCAAATGGATCATAGAGAAAGCTTCCTCCATGCTCTGAACGGGTTCACTATATTGCTTGGTTGTTGAGCTCTCTTTAGCAGCAGACATGCGACTATCACTTCCACCAAAAATAGATGAAATTCCCCAACTTGAACCACTTGTGTTTCCTGATAAATTAGTATATTGCTTAGAGCTTAAAATCTAATGTTCTTTGATAGTGCATAAAAATGAGTCGGAACATGTTTAAAGTGAACTATTTCAAGCAACATTATTACCAGAGGATGCAACTTTTTCAACTTCTGCCATAGGCCGGACTACCTGTAAGCAATCCAACAATTAATTAGACAAATATAGAGTGATTGACCATTGACATTTCAAATCTGCTTCTCCAGATCTAAACCAGTAAGAGCAAACAGAAATAAACAAATATTTAGAGGAGAAGGTAGAGGGAAGAAGGATGCTTGATCACAGAGCAAAACCAAATTTCCTGACCTGATCAGCCACAATTCCATTAACTTGTCTTGCAAGAATAGCTCGAGACTTTAAGCTTCTTTCAGATGTTGGCACCTTATCAGACTCCACACCATCCTAATTAACCAAAAGACAAAAGGGGCAAAAAGAGAAAAATTATAAATGAATGATCTGACTGAGCAAGAACTTAGTAGAATATACAATGAAAATAACAAATAACCACTCCGCATAAACAGAATTACCTTTGGCCTCCCTATTGGTAGAGGAATCTTAGTAGACTTAATCTGTTGCAGAGCAACCTCAACAGCCTTACTTCCACCAATAAAATTTGGATGGGAAGTGTTTATATAGTCCATCTGCAAATTTGAGTCGCTTATATTGTAAATCTCTATAAGTCTTTGAAAAGCAAAGATAGATAAGTTTCATGAACAAGTATATCAGACCAGACAAGTGAAAAGTTGCCGATATAGTTGAAATAAAAAATGAATATAAATAACCAAGGAAAGCAGGGAAAAGAACATGTAAACAGACAGCATTACTAAAATGTTTGATCTTGCAACACAACAATTATGTCCAAAAAAAAATTTACAGGGGACTGATGATCATAAAGACAACAATGTTTGAAAAATGGAAACCCCATTTCAGTTACAGATATGATGAACATTGTCACAGAAATGATGAAATCAAGAACGTACATAAGGAAGACGGAGCCCATAAGCACATTAGAGGAAGTTAAATTAAGAATTCAACTTCCATGGTGATTGTGACTCAAGTAAAAAAATCAAGGACGAGCCAACAGTGAAGAACAATCACACATGCGTAACCAAAATAAAATACGTTTCAAGACACAGACAGGATGGTCTACAGTCGACTTACTCTAGTGACATACAATAGCAATGACATAAATTAAGTTCAGTATTTCCTTGGTTTTTTATTGGAAGTGAGAATCACAATGTCCTTACTCAAAATGGAATAAATCATTAACCATCAATATATAAATTTCGGATATAAAAAGCAATGAGACTTCAAGAAATCCTGGCTTTAGAATACCTCCATTTCAATAATGTGTCCAATCATTGTCTCAGAGGGTTCAAGGCCTTCACGCAGAAAGTTCCCTATAACTTCATCCATACGCTTTCTGAGAACAGGAAAGCGTTGCAGTTCATTCACAAGACAGTGATGGCTAATCTGAAAGGAGAATTAGTCTTATTAGGATATTTGCAACTGCAAACAGCAGTTCAGCAAGAACACAAATATAGCATGTAAGCAATGCTCTACCTTTATCAACTCATCATATATGAACCTGGCACACTGAAGGCTTGGATCTAACAAACGAGCAATTTGCCTTCGAACAAGAACTTCAAATGGTACCTATATATACATCAGAACAAAACAATTCAATTACAGGAAAGAATATTCACCGTCCAATCTAAAAGTAATAATTGTATTCTTTTCTTCAGGAAGCCAAAAATAGAACAGGAAGGAACTAATTAAACTTTTAGAAAATGAACCAATAAAACCTACTTCCGGTACAAATAGTGCAGACTTAGGACCAGTTGCATTCTGAATGGCAGTTCGAATGTCGTCATCAGTCAAGTCCTCACATGGATCAACTTCCTGCATTAGTAATTAAACCACATCAGTTCCACAGCTAGTAGAAGTTGGAAAACTGGCAAAACAGACTCTGTACCCACAATTTTTTTAGCGCAGACAAGATAAACCCAACCAAATCTCACTAGACAAAGGAGGCAACAATCCTACACAGCATTTTTTTTCTTTTTGGCGGGGGGGAATTAAAAACTGATGATATATTCTGTATACAAAAGGCAACAGACAACCAAACATATTCTTCAACTTTAATTTTGCAAATAAGGCAGAGCAATTATCACACTAAAACAGAGGAAAATAAAAAGATTCCCTCCAGATCTGTTTCTCTCTTTCTCTACTGAAACCTTGGTACACAGAACGGTTCATGAGTACCTCCCAAAACCGAAGTCCACAAAGCAACCAGGTATGTAGAATGCTTCTCTAGCATGTCATGCTTCCTTTATGACATCCATATTTCAACAGTTCTAAAGTTCTACAGAAGTATTGATATTTAATTTTGAAAAAGGCAGAAGTACAAAAGCTGTGCTACTAATTACAAAAAAAAAAACCTATTCCCAGTAATTTTTACCATCATCAGTTTACTCCTAGACACTAACTGCCTTCACAACCCTAAAATCAACAAACAAATATGTTCAACATATTAGACTACAAACATACCCATACTCCACCCCCTCTCAGTGCTCTTTTAACTTGGACCATATCTTTCTGTTAAGGATCTTGTAAATTGCCATCCAAAGGTCCAAGTACAGCATTAAACCCTTGGCAATAAGCAAGAGAAAATTGTTGTGTATCATTAATTGGTAAATAAACAGTGATCACAATTTTTTTGAATAATTTGATGTCTGCTGGCCAATAGTAAGGGATCAATCTAGCATTGGTTCTTTTGAGACACAACAAGAAAGGTTCTGCAAGATTAGTGCACAAGAAAAATATTCACAATTTACAACCCCACCAGAGACTAGCTTCCAAGTGAAACATTCCCTTCTGCTTCTCTCCTCCTATTTCCCGTTTCTTCCTATCTCACCTACAATGAATCAAAAATCTTCTACAACAATGTTTCTATCCTCAACACCTGCAAAGAATTTTCCTCTAGGTACCGTCAGCATGTAACATAATTCAGGTGCTTGGTTTAAGTATTTTGAATACTAATTCAGCCCTATTCACAAAAATATTGAAATTAGATGAAATTATGTCATGAATAATGCGAGTACAGTAAATGCTTAAGGGGGAATGAAGAAGAGAAATTAACATTAACTCTAAAACCATTTAGAGTAAAAATGGATGTCATGCTTGTTCCCTTTTCCTATCCTACCAGCAACCAAACAAGCCATTAAATCGGTGGAGAAATAGTGACACAAAACAACACTGAAACAAAAATTTCCAAGTTATGAACTAATTTTGCAAAAGAATACATGAAGTTGAGAACCAAATTAATGAACCTCCAACATGGAGTGCCAAACTCAAAATCCGATAAAACAAAAACTGTTCCTGCATGTATGACCATATACACACCTCTAAACTCTTCACAAAGATTGATTGAAATATATAATGAATTCTTGCTCCCCCAGAAAGCTCAGATGTTGACATTTCCTCATTTTTTCCCTCTACCATTGAAGAAAATGCTGTTACCAAAAAAATAGTGAGGTTAAGCACAACACAAATATGGTAAAATATACAAGACAGAAGCACAGTTCAAACATTTATTAAAGAAAGAAAAGAATCCTAGTGAGAAAATCAAATCAAGAAGTAGGCATAAACATACTGTACCTTCGGAGTATTTAGAAAGAATATTTAGGAGAAGAGCTCCCTGACCAGCCTATCACATACAAAAGTTGACAAGCACTAATTAGTATACACATAGTAAACATCAGCCATTAGAAAGGAAGGTCTACACTGTGCAGAAACTGTAACAGAAAATTTATGAATAATCAGACACGAGCTGCAACATCTAGACATTAAAGAACAAATAATGAACCTCAAGCAATGACCACTCAGCACCATACAACAATAAAATTGAAGTTTTTACAGAAGTCCAGATGTAAGAGTTCACTTTTCCTTCTAGGGCGAACTAATGAATTATTAACTGAAAATAGTGAACCAATAGACTCTTGTGAAAAAACTCTTGCAGAAAAATCATAAGTACCTTTGATTCTGTGATTTCTCCATAGCTTGCATGCTCCTTTGCAACAGAAACCAGGGCAGAGCTTATGCGTGACTTTAGCCCTGGAAGTATAGCCTTGATATGTTGTACTAGAATCTGCAAAGAGAATAGAACAAAAAGGTTCAACTAAGTAAGGGATTTGGAGAATATCAACACTGCCTGTGCAGGGGCTATATATGTATCATTCCAATACACAACCAACTCCATCTAGCCAGAAAGTAAGCTTAAGTGAGTTAAAACTTAGATTTAGAGCTAAGAATCGCCTCTATAAAGGACAGATTTCAAAATTATGATCTGCAAGAATTCTAAGAATTTTCCAGATACAAAAGATGGTGAGGGAAATGCGTTAATATAACATATAAGCAAAAATAACCAACTATTTTCATTAACAATTTTGGGATTTTAAAAAAGAGAAAATCAAATGTTATACCTGGTTCAATTTCTTTGCCAACTGAGGAACACCACAACGATCTGCTAGACCATTATATACCTGAGCAATAACATTAAAATGAATGAACAACTAGATCATGGCATCCAACACCAAAGTCATGAATAACAATTAAAAGCTAGTAAAGTCATACCGGTCGACTGCGGAAGAACTTTTCCTCAGCCACTAGTGCATCCTTAATACTTCGGTTGTGAATAATATCCTGTGTTGAGAATATCAATTTACAGTCCATTAAAATCATAGTTTACTAATAAAACAGATAGAAGACACAATTTAAGGGCAATTATTGAAAACTATTGTAAATCAACAGCATAATAATAAAAACAACAGCAAAATAAAAGAATAAAAATTATTACAATATTAGTAGTGGCAGTACCAGTAAAAAAAAATAATAGCACATAAGATAATGCCATTGCCTAAATCATCATTTTGAATGGAATTGTTTAAGGCTGTGTTTGTTTTAATATTTCTACCTTATCCTATTCCTATTCTACCCAAAATACATATTTGTTTCCCTATTCTGAAAATCCAATTTTACTCTATTCAACTATTTAAAACCCCCTAGGTTTGTTAATTTAACTAAACACCCACAACAACAAAAAAAAAAGTTTATAAATTACAAAACACCCCCACTCACCCACATATTCCCAGAAGCCGGTGGCCGGCTATCAGCATTTAATAGGTGGGTGGGGGTGTTTTTGTTAATTTTAAAACTTTTATTGTCGGAGGTGTTTAACTAAATTAACAAATATAGGAGATTAAAAAATAATCTTACCAAACACATTTTCAAATTCAAATCCTATCCTCGTAATAATAACCCAACTCAACTTTTTCAAAAATACTACTCAAAATAATAAAACAAACACACCCTAAACAATCAGAAAATAGATGGATAATAGGTAAATTAATGAATTTACATTTAATCTATAATTGGCCAAAACAAGTCAGCCTGAACTTTGTAAAAGATAAATAAATTAATAGATAAAACAAAATTAGCTAGCACAATGATTCCTATAAGATTATAAAGTTACCTCCTGACTACGATTCACGACGCCTACATAACCAAGTCGGAGGGGAATTACTTTACCAAGCAAAAAATTACGAGCATCAGTACCTCTGTCCATAATATCCAACTGAAGCCACGGGGAAAATATGCAAAACATCATTAGAAAATAAAAAATCCAGCAGATGTCAGTCACATAGCAAATAAAGAAAGAAATTCATGCCAAAATATTCACCTTCGTGATTACTCCTATGGTTCTGTAACCTGGAAACAGAAATATAACTTGTAAGTGCAAAATGAACAAATACGGAATGCCAACCCGCAATGGCTATTGAAAGCAGAGTTACCATCTGGATCAGCAATTCCAGCAATTTGAAGAGCATCTGAGTTTGCTAAATCAGAATTTGCTGGTGTAACAGCTAGAATAAGACAGCTTGGTTGTTTGATGTAAGACATAATCATTGTTCTGATTCGTGCTTCAATATCAGCGGGCTGCTCACCCACGGGAACCTTTGTTATACCAGGCAGATCAACAAGTGTGATATCAAGAACATGAGGAGAAAAAATCTTCAACCGAATTTGCTTGTCTGATACACCTTTGTTTCCTCCTGCTTCCTTGTCTGTTTGAGCCTATAGCCGATACAAATTATTAAAAAGAGAAGAAGAAGATGATTAAAAGAATGGAAAAGCATTAATAATTCTAAAAAAATAAAAATCAACATAAATTAACAAAGGATTGATGCAAGCTTTAGTTATGAAAATATAATTAATAAGAATATACCCTCTTTTATACACTCTTTTAACTCATTTGACTTTTACCATCTGAACTTTCACTCACCATCTTAGCTATATACTTGTGAATTGTATATCAATGCCATCACTATGTTAGAGCCACTAAATGTTCCTGGATATGGGTATTAGAACCACTTTATATTCTAAAAATCATGAAGGAAAGCTTTAGCAATTTTATTGTTGTACAGGTTAAGGGTGAGACTAAGCTGCAAACTTTATTCCTACTTCAGTCTTCTACTGACAATCACCAGATTAACCCCTGTGAAACAATGAAAGTCCTGCCAAAAACTGCTATGTTGTAAATCTCCCCAAAAACATCAATATCTCAACTCACCCCATCTCCTCCAACCAAGTGATTGCCATAAGCAAGTCAAGCTCCAAAAGTAAGTCAGCCCAAGCATCAATAATGTGGAGCATGTAAGCAAACAACATAGAAGCAACGGTAGCAATACCATCGCAAACCCTCACTACTGAGTAAAGATAAGCTTAACCATCATAGGGTTAAATTTAGTTTCTTTGTTCCACCTATCTTGCTTAAAAGCTTAACAACCATAGGGTATTTACATTATTAACATTACCGATAGAAGTAATAAAAATAATATACCGGTAGTTCTGTCTTGCATGTGGCTTAATGTTTATGAAGAAATAATCCAAATACAGGTTCACTAAAAACATAAATATTATTTCTCCTTCAAAATACTAAAATCATTAACATAAACATCCAAATCTGCATAATAAAGGCACTAAAAACAGGAAACCATAAACTTCCGTCAAATCACAAAGCCAATAGACTTCCAAGAAACAGAAGCAAACCCCAAGTAAACTACATTATTGGTTCCAACTATTGAAAGTACTCCCTTAACAGGAGAAGGGCCTCGAAGAGAAGTTGCCACTACGGGATAGAGACTCTTTGGTTGCTCTACCAAAGCCAAATTTCCCATAGATTTGAGATCAGCAGGCGCAAAACTCAGATTGTTGTTTAGCCTACCATTTGTCACTTCATGCCCCCCAAATATTAGCTTCTTAAAATGCAAAAACCATGCTTGGATCCAATAAGGTCTCACATACAACACGGCAGTTAACAATTAATAATAGTCCAACTCTCTGCACACTTTAACTCCTTCACTTAAACATAATGAAGTAATTCAAGTTACCTGAATCTCTCTCCTGATCTCTGAAAAATCATAAAACCTCTTCCCAGGCAAGTGCAAAAACTCGCCGTACTCCTCGTCAGTCTTAATCTGCAGGAGTTGAAGCACGAGCGGACGACGAGTACAAATATCATTCCCACGCGGTAGAAAATCGCGACCGACGAGAGCTTCTAGAACACTGGACTTGCCGCTGCTTTGACTGCCGACCACCGCCACTTGCGGAAGCTCAATCGTGGACTGACTCCCAAGCTGAGCAAAGATATCCTGTAGCTTATTCACTATAGGTATGACGGAGCCTCCTAACGGCACAGCCGCCGGCGTTGATTGCTGTGGAAACGGCGTCGCCGCAGGTTCTTCGGCCATGAGTTGATGGATCAGGAAGCTAGGGTTTTGGAAATTCGAAATTTAGATAGAGAAAGTGTTAGAGAGAGAGAAAATAAGAGATCTTGAATGTGTGATTAAGTTGGTGACGTGGTGTGGTGTGGTGTGGTGTGGTGTGGTGTTGGTGTGAATTTTTTCGAAGAGTGGGGAAGGGAAGGAGAATAGGATGAACGGTGGGTGCTGAGGGTGTCAACCTGCGCACCGTTGATCTTGTGAAGAGAAGAGAAGGGTACGGTGAATGATTTTGAAAATTAAAAAAATTAGTTCAGAACTGTTTAAATATTTTTTTTGTTTTGCTAAGTAATTGTTTAGCTTGCAAGAAGAGTATTGGGAAGTTTACCTATCACCAGTTGCGGAGTTCATTTCTACTGTTAAAAATAGTCAAAAATAAGGTCGAACGATTTACGCATACCCAAGATTTATCGAAACGATAAGTTGGTATCCAAAAGGTTTTGAAACGACAAATAGGAACCTTCCGTCACGTGTTGTTAGTGATTTTTGTTTGTTTATAGTGAAAAGACTAAAATGCCCTTAAAAGTTTCATATTTTAGTTTTTTATAAATTTAAAAATTTTTAAAAAACCCCCTAGGTTTGCTAATTTAACTAAATACCCCATATATAAAAAGTTTGTTAAATGACAAAAACATCCCCACCACCCGCAGTGCCAGATTCCAGCCACCACCACCGGAAACTGGCCGGAAAATTGCGTTATGACACAGACCCGCCGGATATGTGTCGTAACGTGTCGATCTGGCCTTTTCAGGCCAGATCCGTGGCTAATCTGGTCGGAAAGGCCGGAAAATGCCAGATCGACGCGTTACGATACAGATCCGATGGGGTCTGTGTCGTAACATAATTTCTGGCCAAATTTCGACGGTGGTGGCCGAAATCTGGCATGCAGGTCGTGGGGTGTTTTTGTCATTTAACAGACTTTTTATATATGATGGTATTTAGTTAAATTGACAAACCTATGGGGTTTTTTAAAAATTTATAAAAAACTAAAATATCAAACTTTCAAGGGCATTTTAGTCTTTTCACTGTTAACAAACAGAAATCACTAACAGCACATGACGGAAGGTACATGTTTGTTATTTCAAAACTTTTTGGGTACTAACTTGTCGTTACGGCAAATCTTAGGTATGCGTAAATGGTTTGGCCCAAAAACAATTGTCTCCTCAAAGTATACCGAGAACAAATTCATCCAAAATTTTTTTGAAAAGTACTAAATACATCCAATTATTGATGGAGGTTACCTCAATCTAACCATTTATTTAAAAAAAAAAAAAACGTTATAATATATTTTATCTTATTAAATTCTCCCTCCTTTCTCCGTAGTTACTCTCACCAAACTCGAGAAGCTTGGACTACTAATGGTGGTTTAAGAGTACTATGTCACATGCGTCTGATGGCCATATGGGCAATGCAATGGGCTCTAAGAAGATCGAAACCTTCTAAAAATAATGACATGAAACAAAAAGTGAATGAAGAATCTCTATATAGATATCATGTCGGGTTCTGTGAAGTTGCTTGCCTTCTAAAGTAATTAGATAGTAATAGATCTAAAAATTCTTATTATGATGAGCTAAAATAAAATATAATAGTATATAATATTTATATTTTATATTTTTAGTTGAAATTGACATAAAAATAAAAAAAAAATTACATATAAATATTTTAAAAAAAAAATTGAGGGCCCACCCTCAATACACTCTAGATCCACCCCTGGATGATAAAGTGTGTAAGGGTCTTTTACCGTCATTGTTTGATTACACTTGCTAAAAAAAGTTTCTATAATTGATTTAACTTATTACTGCCATCAAATTTTGTGTAAAGTAAGAGATTCATTAGAGAGAAAACATAAATATTGGTGCATACTGTAGTGGGTGTAAGAAAACTATTTTGAAATGCTATGTAAATTATATTATTCTACTGGTGAAACTTAGTTTTCCAATTCTTTTGAGATATTGAATATGACTGTATTATAAAATTTTGGAAAACAGATAGATAAAATCTTTTTAAAATCTTTATAAATTGATTCCAAAATTCATTTCTTTAAATCTATAAAATTTATCAAAAAAGATTATGATTTGATCAATCTATAAAGAGTAATGCTACGGACACCGAAATTTTACACCGAATTTTTGTACCGAAGGACAAGCAACCAGTCAGACGCGACCACGCTGAAATCTTTCGTGAATGAATGCTCGTCCAACATTTATGGACGCCCGCCTATATTTAATGGACTACCGTTCATATTATATGGACGGGTGTTCATTTACTGATGGGCATTTAAAAGACAAATAATGGACACCCGTCCATCTTATATGGACGGGCGTTTAAAAGACAAATAATGGACGCTCGTCCATCTTATATGGACAGGTGTCTATTTACTATGGACGGGCGTCCATATAAGAAGGACACCCATCCAAACAATTTTAAAAAATTTTACATTCAATGGACTAGTGTCCCTTTTAGATGGACGTCTTACTATGGACGGTTGTCCATATAATTTTAGATGAAATATTCATTCCTAAAGCATAAAATTTGTATATGAAATAAAAGAAAAAAAAAAAACTTTGATTTTAAGTATGGACGCCAGTCCATCAAATAAGGATGGTCGTCCATATACAATGGATGGCCATCCAAATGAGTGGACTAGCGTCCACTCTCAAATAATTTTTTTTTTTTAATTTCAATTTTTTTTAATTTATAAACAAAATGCAAAGCAAGAGAGAAATGAAACCTGTTTTAGGAGGCCTAAATTTTTAAACATTCTAATTGAAAATTTTATAGAAGATTTTTTATTAAGCAAAAGATGGATGCCTGTCCTCTTAAGAGGACGGGCGTCCATAAACAATTTAGGCCATTTTTTTTTAGTTTAAAGTATGAACGTTCATTTGTGAAATATTTGCTAATGTGATATGTGGCTCGTCTGATTCATTTGATACGTCGTTCGGTGTAAAAATTCGATGCAAAGTGTCGATGTCCATAGCATTTTTCATCTATAAATGGGTTGGCTTGTATTACATTTTGGTTAACTAGAACTTCTTTCATTCTAGCTTAGGTATGAAACAACTCAAACTTGATGCCCTAAGACTCATGTGTCAACACATTCCCATAGGTAGATACATTAAAATCCACCAAAGCATTTGATATCGACGATGCCTTTTTTAATATTGGCATCTTACGAATGACGTGGTAATCATGTAATATCATAGATGCTTTTTTTGGTTATGTATAATAGATAGTAGAGTGAGAAGACGCTCAAAACTAAAATTCCATCTTCCATGGCATGATTTTCCTGTCAATGATTTGGACTCCTTGACTTTGATATTTGGAAGAGTGAAAGACTGGTCTTTGGAAGAGTAAGCAAAAACTCGAGCATGCTTCCGAAAATGTTTTGGAAAGAAAATAACAAACCTCTGTTTATGGTGTCTCTTTGATTTTATCACTATTTTTTATGGTCTTCGGAGTGCTTTTTGTAATATTTCTATGGCATCTCAATCTCTCTAGCCTATTACACTTCCTCTCAAACTCAAAGATTGAGTACTTGTGACACAGAAAAAGGAAAAGAAAATAACATATCACCCATCAACAAGTTAAGCTAAACTAACCCTAAACTTCAATTTCTCATCTCTTATTAATTAGCTTTTCTTGGGAACAATAAATAAGAGCAATAATGATTTCTATGCTTTTGTAATTTGGTTCAATATTTCATTGTGCCTGGTAGAGTTGGAGACTTCAAAGCCATGTCTAATTATGCTCCGGTTTAGAAACACTAAGCAAAGCAAACAGATACAAGACTTTCTGATGTTTTGTACCTTTGACTTAATGAATGAAAAAAACCTAGAGGAACTCACTCTTCCTGTAACATTGCTTCCATGGTGAAGGGCAATGTTATTTCAACTCAAGCTATAAATGGGACTATTCTTCAAGGGATTACCCAAAAAAAGCATCATCGAAATTTAAAAAAAAAAAAAAAGTTACAAGTACAGTTAACATGACTATTCTCCAATCGTTCTTGTTCATGCACAAGTATACTATTAATCAAAATGATTCCTATTGTAAAAGAAAGCATTAAATTCTTGGAGAAGAATCTCAAGATTCTAATTTTAAAGTAATGCATCATGTAAATGACATGCAATACTACATAAGATGATAATTTTCTGGATACAAATTGAATAGTATGGTATTAATTTCAAATTAGCTTTGCGATCTCCGATCTGAAGTTATCCCAAGAGGCATCAATGCTAGGGGTGAGCATGAGTAGCGAATAGAACTGAAACCGATTGGTAGAACTGGAAGTAGAACCTACCCAAAACTGACCTTCATAGGGTCGGTTCCAGTTCCAATTTTTTGGAATTGACACTGTACAGGTCTGGTTTCAATTCCTGCATGTGCAAGAACTGGAACCGGACCCAAAACTTGGAATGAGAACTTAGGTCGGGTACTTGGGATGGAACCTGTTATGGAACCGAGACTGGAACAGAATATTAGTAAAGAATGTTGGCTCTATATAATTTTGCATATCAAAAAACAAAAATCCAAAAAAGAAAGAAGATACACTTAGGTGACATGACGAAGTGGGTGGAAGCCCCCACTTGGTCAGTAGACTATATATATAAGATATTATAATGTTAAAGTTTTGAGGGCACATGATTAAGATTTAAGAGAATCAAAATAGATTAAATTCATTAAATATTTGATTAACTAAGTGTATAATTAGAGTTAGGATCAAAGTAAGATTGTTTTAATGTTATTAAAAGAATTATTTTTAAATAAAATAGTATATTTGATTAAATAATATTTCAATTATCAAGTTCTAAGCATATCTATAGTAAATTAGTAATTGTTGGAGGGTAAAAACATGTAGAATGAGAACCTGACACGTGTCCTTCAAAGTGGGTCATCATCTAGAAGAAAAACTTCTAAGGGATGGAAACAAGCCACTCTCCCAGAGATAGGTGCCCACTTGCATGAAGAAAACTTCACCAATAAGAATGCAAGTTGATTCCCTTTCTACGTGTCCCGCTTGCATGAGGATTACTTCATCCACCAGGTTAACAGTGTGGCGCCACATGCCCCATTGCGTGTGAATTACTTCACACCCAATATTACCTCCAGAACACTATAAATAGGGGATTCTCGTCCTACACAAAGGAGATATCAACATCTTTTTACTAC